ATGAGAACATTATCCTTTTGATTATTAAGTCCAACATAACTGAGTTTTTTTCCTCTTTGTCTTGAATTTCATGAAGGTATCAGCCTGTTCATTAAAATTTTGAAAGTTCTCAGAGAGTCCAGTGGTGTGATCTTGAAGTTATCAGAAACTTGTATTCAAGAGTCACTGTCAGAGTCTTTTCCATATATCTCCTCAAAGAAAAAGCAATTTTGGACTGTAGTTGATTATAAATACTTCAAGGAAGAATCAAAGCAACTGTCTGGGAATGACAGAGATTTTAAATGACTATGGTTAAAAATCTAATGAGATTTTTATTAGTTTGATTATGGTAAAGACACAGTTCACATAGAAACCTAGTTACTTCTGTGGCACATGACACTATGACTGATAAAATATTCTATTTCCAGAAATTTCATATGGTTTTTAGAATACTAATTTTTTTGTGTGTGCAAAACTTTTTTTTTGTTTTGTTTTTTATTTTTTATTATTATTATACTTTAAGTTCTAGGGTACATGTGCATAACGTGCAGGTTTGTTACATATGTATACTTGTGCCATGTCGCTGTGCTGCACCCATCAACTCGTCAGCACCCATCAACTCGTCATTTACATCAGGTATAACTCCCAATGCAATCCCTCCCCCCTCTCCCCTCCCCATGACAGGCCCCGGTGTGTGATGTTCCCCTTCCCGAGTCCAAGTGATCTCATTGTTCAGTTCCCACCTATGAGTGAGAACATGCGGTGTTTGGTTTTCTGTTCTTGTGATAGTTTGCTAAGAATGATGGTTTCCAGCTGCATCCATGTCCCTGCAAAGGACACAAACTCATCCTTTTTTATGGCTCCATAGTATTCCATGGTGTATATGTGCCACATTTTCTTAATCCAGTCTGTCACTGATGGACATTTGGGTTGATTCCAAGTCTTTGCTATTGTGAATAGTGCCGCAATAGACATACGTGTGCATGTGTCTTTATAGCAGCATGATTTATAAACCTTTGGGTATATACCCAGTAATGGGATGGCTGGGTCATATGGTACATCTAGTTCTAGATCCTTGAGGAATTGCCATACTGTTTTCCATAATGGTTGAACTAGTTTACAATCCCACCAACAGTGTAAAAGTGTTCCTATTTCTCCACATCCTCTCCAGCACCTGTTGTTTCCTGACTTTTTAATGATCGCCATTCTATCAGAGTGAACAGGCAACCTACACAATGGGAGAAAATTTTTGCAATCTACTCATCTGACAAAGGGCTAATATCCAGAACCTACAAAGAACTCAAACAAATTTACAAGAAAAAAACAAACAACCCCATCAAAAAGTGGGCAAATGATATGAACGGACATTTCTCAAAAGAAGACATTCATACAACCAACAGACACATGAAAAAATGCTCGTCATCACTGGCCATCAGAGAAATGCAAATCAAAACCACATTGAGATACCATCTCACACCAGTTAGAATACTAATTTTTTTAATTTTTTAATTTTAATTTTTATTTTTTTGAGATGGAGTCTCGCCCTGACACCCAGGAAGGAGTGCAGTGGCAGGATCTCTGTTCACTGCAAATTCCACCTCCGGGTTCACGCCATTCTCCTGCCTCAGACTCTGGAGTAGTTGGGACTACAGATGCCTGCCACCACACCTGGCGAATTTTGTTTTTGTGTTTTTAGTAGAGACGGGGTTTCTCAATGTTAGCCAGGATGGTCTCGATCTCCTGACCTCATGATCTGCCCGCCTTGGCCTCCCAAAGTGCTGGGATTACAGGCATAAGCCACTGCACCCAGCCTAGAATACTCATATTATTAACATTCCCATAAATGTTATTTAGAGAAGGTTTAGCAACACTTATCACTTATTTGAAAATGCTTTATATATATTTTAGCATATAAAATAAGGTGGCTTTTCCATTCAGCTTCAGTTTCCCAACAGGATTACTGAGTTCTTGGTGTAGCCCATTAATAATTAGGGCCAAAAAAGTATAGTGTTATATATGTTCAAAAAGGTCCTTAGGTAATTTCAGTACTTCTACTTCAAAATCATTGACTTAGTTGTAAGTTCTACCTATTACAACAAGAATTCTCCATCCTCATTACATGTTAGTAGTGTCAGGGAAGACTTAAAAATTATCAATGCCTGGGTCCCTCTCCAGACCTTTAAACTGGAACTCATGGGTGGGGCTTGAGCATCCACTTTTAAAAATGTTTTCCAGTGATTCCAAAGTGTAGCTATATTTCCCCTCAGATTTCTCTGATTTCTTGTGGCTTTCACTTTTTTTCTATTTTGGTATCATGATGAATTTCAGATCTCATTTCCTGTCTTATGCTTTATGTCCCCTGGGGTAGGGACCATGCCTTCTTCATTTCTGTACCCTTTTTGAACAAGTGAATTAGTCATCAGGAAAAGGTCTCAAGCACACATAGGTTTTGTTCTGAGTCTCAGGTTCACAGGCTAATCCTAAAGTCTTTTTCCTCCACGAGGTCAGAGGTTGCTTGTGATGAAGGGAGTGGTTAAGTCTGTAGTGCAGATGGTGGAGGGGAGTTCACCCTCTTTTTAGGCATAGCATTGGAACTAAGAATTTTATGTCTATATGGATGAAGGGGCAGGGATGTGTAGGAAGACAGTTCTAATTAGGATGGAGGAATTATACTAGGAAGTAGAGGTAAAGGGAGTGAGAAGGATTAGTAAATAAAAGAAATGTGAACTTACCAAATAGGCTAGTGTAGACCCCTGGAGTTTCTTGATTAAGTGAATTAACTAGATTTTAGAAAGGTAGTGAGGCAGTCATATGCAAGGAAGGTTTCAAAGTCTGGACACAAGAAGTCAAGCAACACTTTGAGAAGTGGTTGGTCTTTATGGGAATGGAGAGAATTACACTATTGAGAGATGTGAAAAATAATGAAGAGGGTTTCACAATGTGAAATTGTGTTTCTCATTTGAATCCGAGAAACAAACCAGCAGAAGCTGGAGACAATTATGTCTAAAAGACATTGGGGTAGAGGGAGCATGAACGCCAGGGAGAAAGGGAACTGCAGGAATTAGTGCTGAGAAGCATGAGTTTAGTGGAAGGAGGAGGAGATCCAGTCCCAGATACAGGCCAATAAGTCTTTTCCCTCTCCCAAGCATGGCAGTCAGCCCTGCAGGAAACAGTACAAGAGAAAAGGCCATCATACCTGCCAGGCTTCCTGAAATACAGAAATGATATCACGGCTGCCATGTCGGATCAATGCCAGGATAGATGTCCTCTTCCTAAAGAAGCTGTCATGGAAAGAAAAGAAAAGAAGGAATGGAGATGATGTTACTTTACAGGGGGGAACCTCAGGAACCAGCATGTAACATGAAGTAGTCTAATTGTTTCTTCAAGGAATGCATTATTTCTGTTGGAAAGTTGATGGGAGATTATTATATTCCTTTAGTTTTTTTCCTCTCTCACCATGTTTCTAGGTTTTTTATCAGTCCTCTGTCAATTCTCTACTACACTCAGATATTTCAGAAAACTTTCGGATGTGTGAAAGGCTGATCGCTATTTTCTATGTCAGTAGAACTATCCACCTTTACAACATTTCATGGTTGCATCTTTTTCTAAGTGTCTCTGTGGTGGCAGCCATGAATGAGACCCTGCCAGGTCTCCATGGCAGGGAACTGATTGACAGAAGGCCCAGGTCAGTGCATTTCAAATTCACAACCTCCTTTGCACAGAAAGCTTCCTTCCCACAGGCTCCCAGCAAGGGCATGAAAGCAAGCCTAGTTCTCTGAGGCTCTCTTTTACTCTAATGGGTGACTGGTTGGAGGATTCCCCATCAGCCTTGCAAAAACTGTCTTAAGAACTGCATTGATACCTAAAATTTCTTTTCCTTTCTTTTTCACAGGAGTCAGCTTTGCATAGTGGTCTGTGGGTTCTCCCACACTACCTTCATGCCTGCCCCACATTCCCTCACAGGTGTCTTCCCTGATAATTTATCTTATTTCTCTAGTCCTATCCTGGATACATCTCAGTTGGTAAAAAAAAAAAAAAAAAATCAGGATTGATTCTTTACACTTAGATTTTTTCCTTTCTCTCCCACAAGTAGTCAGTAACCATGTCCTAGTGTTTTATGTGTTACCTCTTTTTCTATATATATATATATGGAAATAGGTACTGTTGAGGGGCACATCTTATGTGCCAGGCCCTGTGCTAAATACTTTACCTGTACCTCATTTATTTCACACAATAACCCTGTCAGTTACATATTATTTCCATATTGCCGATGAAAAGACAGAAGCTTAGAGTAGTGTAAAAACTTTCCTGGTGTCATATGGCTACTAATAGGAGGATCTGAGATTTCATTCTGGGACTATTTGACCTCAAGGCTAATGATGACAGTAGTAATATAGCAGCTGACATTGGTTCGTCTGTGTGTGGCATCTTGTTTCATTGACTGCAATAAACCTTTAAAAGAATCGTATGAAGCAAGCTCTCTCATGCTTCAGGATATGAAAGAAGAACAAACTAAACCCAAGCACAGTGATTTAAAGACACAATACGGATTAGAGTGAATAAAAATAAAATGGAGAATGGAAAAAGAATACAGTAAATTAATGAAACCAAAGTTGATTCTTCAAAATAAAATCAACAAAATTGACGACCATTAACTAGACTAAGAAAAAAAGAGAGAAGATTAAAATTACTAAAATCAGAAATGAAAATGGAGTCCAAGCATGGTGGGTCATATTTTAATCCTAGCACTTTGGAAGGTCACAATGGGAGGATTTCTTGAGGCCAGGTGTTTGGACCAGCATAGGTAACTTCAGGAGACCCTGTCTCTACAAAAAAAATTTAAAACCAATTAGCTGGGCATGGTGGCATGCATCTGTAGTCCTAGTATCTTGGGGGGCTGAAGAAGGAGAATTTCTTCAGCCCAGGAGGTTGAGGCTGCAGTGAGGCATATTCGCACCACTGTATTTCAGCCTGTGCTGGCCTACAGAGGGAGCGGCTGTCTCTCTCTAACAAAAGAAAAAAGAAAAAAAAAACAGAAAATGAAATGATTACTAGCAATTCTAATAAAATAATGATTATGAAATTACTGTAAATAATTGTATGCTAATAAACTGTATAACCTAGATGGAATAGACAAATTCCTAGAAAAACACAAAAATATGAATAGAACTATAAGCAGTAATAAGATTGAATCAATAAAAGCATTTGATGAAATTCAATATTTTTTCATAATAAAAACATTCTAAGAATGGAAGGAAACTACCTCAACATAAAGGCAATATGTGAAAATCCCAAAGCTAACATCATACTCAATGGAGAAAGACTGAAAGCTTTCCCTGTATGAGCAGGAACAAGACAAGGATGCTGCTTTGGACACTTCTATTCAATGTAGTATTGAAAGGTGTAGTCGGAAAAATTAGGCAAGAGTATTAAAAAAGACATTCAAATTGGAAGAAAGGAGTAAAATTATTTCTGTTCGGAGATAACTTGAACTTATATCTAGAAAATCCTAAAGATGGAACAAACCTATAAGAATTGATGAATGAATTCAGTAATGTTCCACAATACAAAATCAACATTCAAACATCATTCATATCTCAATACACTAACCATGGACAATCCGAAGGGAAATTAAGAAAAAAAATTTAATTTGTATTAATATCAAAAAGAATAAAATATTTAGGAATAAGTTTAACCAAAGAGGTGAAATAATTATACCTGAAATCCATAAAATATTGCTTAATGATGACATCAATAAAATGAAAGACATTTTATTTTCGTGAATTAGAAGACTCACTGTTGTCAGGAGGACAATGAAACCCAAAGTGAGCTGCAGATTCAATATAATTCCTCTAAGAATCTCAGTGACATTTTTGCAGTAAAAGAAAAATCCGTCCTAAAATTTATATTGAAAATCATGACCCTAAATAGACAAACAAATTTGAAGAGGAAGAATGAAGCTGGAGGACTCACACTTCCTGATTTCAGCATTTACTACAAAGCCCCAGTAACCAATACAGTGTGGTACTGGCATAAAGGAGGACATAGAATTTAATGAAATGGAACAGAGACTCCAGAAAGAAATACTTGCATACATGGCCAAATGATTTACATCGAGTGTGTCAAGATCGTTCAACGGGGGAAAGGACAGTGCTCACCAAATGATATTGGAAAAGCTGGATATCCAAGGGCAAAAATGAGTGGAACCTGTACCTAACATCATATACAAAAATTAACCCACAATGGATCAAAGATCTAAATGTAAGAGCAAAATCTATACAACTCTTAGAAGAAAATATAGGATAAAAACTTCATGATATTGCATTTCACAATGATTTCTTGGTTGTAACAACAAAAGCATAGGCAACAAATAAAATGGATAAATTGGACTTCATAAAAATGAAAACCTTTTGCATATCGAAGAACATTATCAAGAAAGTCAGAAGGCAACACATGAAACGAGAAAAATATTTGCAAATTATAAGTGTGATAAGAAATTAATTTCCAGAATACACAAAAAACTACAAGTTAACAACAGCAAACATCCAAAAACACAATTACAAAATGAACCAAGGATTAAAATAGAGTTTTCTCCAAGGAAGGTATACAAATATCCGATAAGCCTATGCAAAGCTCATCAGCATCACGAATACTTAGAGATATGCAAATTAAAACCACAATGTGACACCACCTCACACACTTTAGGATGGCTTTGATAACAACAATGACAGCAACACAAAGCAAGTGTTTTCAAATAGACGGAAAAATTGGAGCTCTAGTGCATTGCTGATGGGAATGGGAAATGTTATAGCCACTGTAAAAAGTGGTGTGGCTGTTTCTCAAAAATTTAAACAATAAATTACCATTCGACCCAGCAATTCCACTTCTGGACATACTGCCTATAGAATTGAAAGAAATTTGAACAAATATTTGCACATTAATGTTCAGCGAAGCATTACATACAATAGCCAAAAATGGAAACAATGGAAAATTCCATTGAATGATAAGTGGGTAGGGAAATGACGTATATCTCTACATCGAAATGTTATTCAACCTTAACAAGGAATAAAATTCCAATACATCGTGCAAAGTGGATGAACCTTGAAGACATTATGCTAACTGAATTAAGCCAGACATGAAAGGATAATTATTCTATAATTCCATTTATAAAAGATAGAATAGCCAGTTACATAGAGACAGAAAGTAGAATGGTGGGTGCTAAGGGTTAGGGTGAGAAGGCGTGAGAGTTACTGTTTATTGGGTACAGAGGTTTAATATGGTAAAAGGAAAAAGTTCTGGAAATTGATAGTGTGATGGTTACACAACACTAAATGGCACACTTAGAAATAGTTAATGATAAGCCTTATATTGGATATATATAAAGTGTCCTGGTAGTCTTACACTCTATAAATACACACTTTTTGGCATAGCCCCTTTCCTGCCATGCAGAACCCCAGAGGTGAATCTCCCTATGTCTCCAAGTGTGCATCACTCACTGTCCTCTGTGCTGTGTCCCACGTGCTGTGCCCACAGCCTCATACAACCGGTGACTTCAGAGCCAGGACACAGCTCAAGAGTCTGCCCCGAGGCTCCCTTTCTTTTAATTTCCCTGCAGCCTAGCCTTCATATCAACTGGCAGTTCGATTTAGCCGAATTCAGGAGAGGCCACCAGGGCTCTTTCTCCACACATGCTGGTCCCACACCAGGTGGAGTCAGGCAGGGCCAGTCACCGGAGAAGCCTGGAGCAGATTAGGGAGCAGTCTGAGCTGCTCCTCTCTCATCCAAGGGGTTTCCTACTCTCATTTGGGGGAAAAATGTGAGCTTGTTTCAAAGCCTCGGATGCTCCTTGTAGGTCATGCAGTAGGGGAAAAAAAGACGTGGCAGAAAGGGATGTATTGGTGACAGCAAGAAGCAACTTGACCTTGAGGACTCTCCTTCTTGTCCCTCTGTGAAGCTGCTTCCACCACATAGGGCTCAGGACTGACAAAGCCCCCTCCCTACATTTCTCAGTCTGGACGCAAAGTCAGCCATGAGAAAACAGGAAAACAAGGAGAAGAGAGTCCGTGGAGACAAATTGGGAGGGTTCAGGAGGAGAATTTAGGATTTCCTTCTGCCAATGGGACACAGGCTGGGAATTAAAATGTTTTCCTGGGTCTTCTCTGAAAGCCAGATAGACTCCACCTAAAACCCTATTGCCAGTGATGCAGGATCCACTTACCAGAGACTTTGATCATCTTGGATGTGGAACTTCCACTGCCAGTGGCTGAGTTACGAGCGGAGCAACCATAGATTCCACTATGATTTGTAGTAATTTCACGGATAAAAAGGTCTTGTCCTGATTGCAGAAACTTTCCATTAATCGTCCAAGAATACTCTGCTGGTGGGTTAGAGTCCGCGAAGCAGTACAAGTAGAGGTTTTCTCCTGAACGGTAATAGGGGAATGGAGAGAAAATGCTGGGGATGTGTGGACCATCTGGAGTAAAGAGAATAAAGTCACAGATGATGTCATCTGAAGGAAGGGGATGTTCCTGGTCTCTTAAAGGGACACACTGTCCCTCTGAGCCAAGACACACCCTCAAGGCCCAGCCAAACCGCTCCTGTGTTCACTGGGCCAAAGTCTGGGATATTCTCCTGTTTCTCCCATCACAGGCTGTAGACTCCAAGTCTCCCATGACAAGAGCATCTCCTCCCCTTATATTTTTGTTTAAGGCTATGCATACCCAGAATTTCCCAGGGCAGGGAGTCGTGGCCAGCTCTGGTGTGCAGAAAAAAAAGTGTCTGTACTTGGACCTGAGAGAGACTGAGATGCCTGGCCTGTGTTCGTATGGATTTTAGTGGGTGACCTGGTCCACAGAAGAACCAAAGATACAAAGGACATCCAGGGTAACGGGGTCACTGAGGGTGCTACCAACTTGGCCCCATATTTCACATTCATAGTGGCCTGTGTCATTTCTTGTGCCATTGCCTAGAATGAGGACCCTGTTTTCACCGGGTTGCTTTAGCCTGGGACTGTGTGGATAACAGAGAGAAGATTGTCCTGTATGGTACCTTTGATTCCTCCACAGGCATCCTTCAATCAGAGTTGCCATCTCTCTCCCCTTAGCCCACCCGAGTCCTTGAAAACCAGTAACTGGTGCGTGTGTCACAAGACAGATGCATGATGATCTAAGGGCTCAAAGACTGTGAGGCCGCCTGCTCTGTCTTAGGGAAGCACAGACTTTCTCAAGTGTGAATTGAGCAGCAGTGTTGGGTCATGGACAGACATGTCAGTAGGAGTCATAGCCCCTGGTACCCCTACCACTCCCTCTCTAATGAACTGACTGGCTGGCTCACCTTGGATTTCTTACCTGGAATGTGCAACTGCTGGGCCCCTTCCAACTTCCATCCTACTTTGCCCCCCTAGATGTGATTTCTCTGCAGCTTCCATTTCCAAGGACATTCTAGAGATGAGTAATTGTCCTGAAACCCTGAAGATACTGAGCAGCCTGGCCTGGGACTGGATGTTTCAGCAGAAAGAAGACAGGGGAGACCAGAGTCAAGCCTGGAGGTCAGTTCAGTCATCAGGCAGTGGAGGCACAAAGTGGGGCAGTTTTCTGCAGGTGTTTCATGATGACTTACTTGAGCCAGTGACCTCCAAAGATAGAGCAGAGTGCAAGGAATGATGTAGAAAGAGTGAAGGGGACAGACAAGAGCTGGTGACTTTGGAGCAGAACCATGTTCCCTCTTCTGGGTTCTTTAAGTTTCCTCTCCTTCTGCAGAGGGCAGGTGAGGACTAAATGGATCTTTCCAGAAATACATGTGGACATTTGCAAATGCAGAATGGACTGGTGGAAAGGATGGGAATTAACTGCTGGAAATCTGGTCCTCCTGGACCATACATGTTTGATGGATGTGAGACAAATTTGGGGAGAAGTTTTGCAAATATTTTCTTTCATTGGACACTCTACTCTCTGATTCCATGGGTTTGACTACTCTAAGGACATCATGTAAGTGGATTCCAGACTGAATCTGAGTAGAGACTGCTGGTTGCCAGGAGCTGGGAGTGGGGAGAATCAGAAGTTGTTCATGGGTGTGCAGTTTCAGTTATGCCAGATGTGGAGGTTTTAGAGATCTGCTGTATAGCTTGATGCCTATAGTTCACACAGATTGAGTATTTCTTACGCATAAGACTTAGGACAAAAAGTGTTTTGGATTTCTGACATTTTTTTGATTCGAAATATTTGTAACATACTTACTGGTTTAACATCCCAAATCTGAAAGATTCAAAATCTAAAATGCTCCAGTGAGCATTTCTTTTCAGCATCAGATTAGTCAGCAAAAGTGGGTGGTGATAGGCTAAATACATTCTTGCCCTTTTTTTTCTCACCACGTTTCCAGCTTGGTGATTAGTTCTTGGTCAATTCCATACTGACCATGCTGCACTTGTATGTTTTTGAAGGCTTTGGGATGTGAGAAATAATGATTACTATTTTCTATGTCATCAACACTTTCCACCTTTTCATGGTTGCATCTTTTTCTCAGTGTCTCTGTTGTGGCAGTCATCAGTAAGAGCCTGTCAGGTCAGATTTAGGACAGATTTTTGTAATTCTGCAAAAAAAATGTTACTGGGATTCTGGTAGGGGTTGCGTTGAATCTGCAGCTCACTTTGGGTAGTATTGTCATCCTAACAATATTGATTTTTCCAATCCATGAAAATGAAATGTCTTCCCACATATTGATGTCGTCTTTAATTTCATTCAGTAAAGTTTTGTAGTTTTCAGAGTATAAACCTTAGACCTTTTTGGTTAAAATTATTCCAAAATATTTTATTCCTTCTGATGTTAATGACAATGGAAATTCTTTCCTGAATTTCCTTTCATATTGTTCATTGTTACTGTATAGTCTAAAGAATGGTCTAGAAAGAGTGAAGGGCACAGGCAAAAGCTCGTGGTTTTCGAGCAGAAACATATTCCCTGTCCTGGGTTTTTGATTTTCCCTCTCCCTTTGCAGAGGGCAGGTGGCTCTTCTCTGATAGCCAGATAGACTTCACTGGAAAACATATTGCCAATGCTCCAGGAATCAACTTACCAGGGACTATGATCCTCTTGATTATGAGATTTTTTCCACCAGTGACTGAGTTATGCATGAAACAGACATAGACCCCTCTATATGTTTTAGTGATTTGGAGGATAAAGAACACTTGTGCTGATTGCTGGAACTTCCTATCAATCAGCCAAGAATGCTCTGCCAGTGGGTGAGAGTCTGTGAGGCAGGAGAGCTTGGGGACTTCCCCTGGATGGTAATAGGGGTATGAAGAAGAAATGGTGGGAGCGTCCAGGCCATCTGGAGCAAAGAAAATGAAGTCGTAGCTGATGTTGTCAGAGGGAAGGGAAAATCCTGGTCTATGGAAGGGCCACAGTGACCCTGTGAGCTAAGTCACAACACTGAAGTCCCTGCCAAATCCCTGCTGTGTTCACTGATCTGGAGCCTGAGACATTCACCTACTTCTCCCATCATAAGCTGTGGACCCTGAGTCTCCCATGAGAGTAGCAGCCTCTACTCTCTCATTGTTGATCAAGCCTAAGCCTACTGTTAGGACTCGTGGCCAGCTTTGATATCCAGGGATAAGGGTCTCTGTAGTTGCACCTGAGAGTGACTGAGAAGCCTGGCCTCTGGCCATGTGTATTTGGGATGGCAGCCTGGCTCACAGAGGAACAGAAGATACTTACAGAGGAGATTCAAGGTGACTGGGTCACTGTGGCTGGAACTCCCTGGGTTCTTCATTTCACATTCATAGGGTCCTGCAGTATCCTTTGTGACACCAAATAGACTGAGGGTCCTGTTGTTTTCGGACAGTTGCAACTTGCTACTGATAGGGAGGTTCTGACCATTTATCCACCACAGGTAGCTGACATCCTGAGTGTCAGGATCACAGGATAAGATCACAGTCTCCGTGCACTCCCTGGGGTTTAAGTTGCTGCTGGAGATGTAGGGCTTGGGAGTCTCCACTGTGCAGATAACAGAGAGAAGTTTGCCCTGTGTGGCACCTTTGATTCCTCTAAAGACATTTTTCAATCAGAGATGGCATTTCCCACTTCAGCCCACCCAAGTCCTTAAAAATCCATGGCAGGTGTGTGTGTTACAAGACAGATGCATGGCAATCTGAGGGCTCAGAGATTGTGAGGCTGTCTTCTGTATGTGGGAGAAGCACAGACTTTCTCAAGTGTGAATTGAACAGCAGCATTGCGTAATGGAAAAACATGGATCCGGCATCAGAGCCCCTGGTGCCCCTCTGAGTCCCTCCTTCTCCAACTCCCTGCCTGGCCCACATTGTGATCCTCACTTGGAGCATGCAGTGCTAGAATCTTCTTAGTTTCAGTCTTACTTTGCTCTCAAGGTATGTTTTCTCTGCAGCTTCCCTTTCCAAGGGCATTCTAGAGATGGATGATGGAACTTCCCATTGTCCTTAAACTCTTTGGGTAGTGGGAACACTGGCCTGGGACTGGGTACTTCAGCAAAAATAACACAGGGAAGACCAGAGTCAAACCTGGAGGTCAATTCAGTCATCAGGGAGTGGAGCTACAAGGTGGGGCAGTTTTCCCAGCTGTCTCATAGTGACTGACTTGAGCCAGTGACCTCTAAAGATAGAGCAGAGTCCAAGGAATGACCTACAAAGAGTGAAGGGGACAGGCAAGAGCTGATAGCTTTGCACCAAGACCATGTTCCCTGTCCTGTGTCCATGATATTCCCTTCTCCCTGTAGAGGGCAGGTGAGGACCATGTGGATCTCTCTAGAAATACATGGGGAGTTTGCAAATGCAGAAGTGACTGGTGGAAAGGGCAAGCATGAACTGATGATGGAAGTCTGACCCTCATGGAGCACTTGTGTTTGGTGGCTATTAGACCAATATTTGGGAAGAAGTCTTGCAGATACTTTCTCTGATTAGACATTCTACTCTCTGATTCTGTGAGTTTGACTACTCTATGTACCTCATCTCAGTGGATTCCAGAGTAAATCAGAGAGTAGAACAGTAGTTTCCAGGAGCAGGGGTGAGGGGAATAGGGCATTGTTCCGTGGGTGTGCGCTTTCAGTTATGCAGGATGAGGAGGTTCTAGAGATCTCCTGTAGATCTTCATACCTATAGTTCATACAGATAAAGTGTTCCTTTTGCAGAAAGCTTAAAACTAGGTGTTTTGGAGTTCTAACTTTTTTTTATTTTGGAATATTTGCAGTAGATGTACTGGGTTAGCATCCCAAATCTGAAAAATTTTAAATCCAAAATGCTCCTGTGGGCACTTCTTTTTAGCACCACATCAGTGGTCAGAAGTGTTGGATTTTGGTGCATTTCAGATTTTGGATTTCTGGATTTGGATGCTCAATTTGCAATATTGTAATTTTCCCATAAAATGTTGTCAGGTTTTAGACCTCACGTTATGATGTGACTCTAGTAAGAAAACAAAAAACAAAAATTGAGGGAAACATTAAACTGTTGTCATAAGTGGAAATGTTTACTGATGGTCCAAATATCTACGATGAATTGCTGGTAGTAGTATTTCTCTTGATACCCAATTAAGGTTTAAGTGTGGGGTGAATTCAGCAGAATCACATTATGCTCAAAGAAAGATGCCAAAGGTGATTTGAAATTAACAAGTCCTTGAGTAGAAATAATCCCGTTAAAAGGACAGAACTGGTCAGTGTGTCAATTACATAAAGGGAGGAATGATGCCGAATTAAAAGAAGTGATGTGTGTTATGTTAGTAAATATAGAAAGAACTCCCTGTTTCTAATTTCTGTGCAGAGTTAGGAAAAATGGGGAGGAGCCCAAAACAGGTATGTGAAGTGCTGTCTTCATTTTCTCTCAACCTCAGGAAATGCAACTAGAGTTTAAGTTTGTGTGAATTAGGAAGAGTCTAAGTGAGATGCCATTGGGTCATATGTCCCCCAAACGAAGAATCCCAACTTATGAAAATGACATCATCATGGGGAAACAATCGAATGTGGCCCAGGTAGGAAAACCATCAGATAGTACCTGCGGGCCACCTCCAACAGGTCCCCGAACCCAGCAGTATTCCCATTATGTGAATGTTACAGCCTTGGTAGTTGTCCCATAACTACAAAATTTAAAAATTGCTATTGTCAATACAAAGTGATAAATATGAAGTTGAATATATTGCTCCATTTCTTCCCCTACTCTTTTAGAACTTTCTTGTTTCATTTTTGGAAGTTTCTATTGACACATCCTCAAGCTAGGGATTCTTTCCTCAGCTGTGTGCATGATACCAGTAAGCATCAAAAGCATTCTTCATTTCTCTAACAGCATTTTTTTTTTTCTGAGATGGAGTCTCACTCTATTGCCCAGGCTGGAGTGCAGTGGCACGATCTTGGCTCACGGCAAGCTCTGCCTCCCGGGTTCACGCTATTCTCCTGCCTCAGCCTCGCGTGTAGCTGGGACTACAGGCACCCACCAGCACGCCCAGCTCATTTGTTTGTATTTTTAGTAGAGATGGGGTTTCACCGTGTTCGCCAGGAAAGTCTCGATCTCCTGACCTCCTGATCCGCCCGCCTCAGCCTCCCAAAGTGTTGGGATTACAGACGTGAGCCAGTGTGCCTGGCCGTCTCTGAGGGATTTTAACGAGTTGTCGACTTTTGAGTTTGTTCAACTGTTTACTTACTGTTAACCAAGTGACAAATTACAAGCTTTTTATATGCCTGACAGGAAACCAGAAGTCTCTAGAAAGTGACTGGAGAACACGAGTTCCATAGTAGGTTGAGGATGGAGTCACGAGTGAAAGGCGTGAAATCAGCCCATGGGCTTTGGAGACTACAAGCCTGTCCAGCCTCTGACACCCTGGTGAGTCAGTGCAAAGATTACAACAGTGACAGCAAACTAGCATGGCTGACTCCATCTGGCATCTAGTCTCAGGCTGGTTGTCCTCACTCATTCCTGGACATAGGCCAGGCTAACCATGGGAGGAATTTAGTTTATGGTTTAACTCTGAAGAAACAATGAAAATAGTTCCTCCATAACACTAATACCCTTATTTTGCTCAGGGATTGCCTTTGTAAAACTGGTGAAAGACCATGAGAGTAAGATTATAGGAGGGCAGAGAATTCTGCTAAAATGTAGGCACAGTTTCTATAATCCAGTACTGCTCAAATGTCATTTGCCCAGAGTTTACAAAATTCGTAACTAATTGCTCCTATAGGTAACATCACTATTTCAGAACCTGAGATTGGTCTTTTGAGATGTTTCTCATTCTTTGCATTCTGGCAACCCACTGACCTCATCCATACCCATGACTAATGGCTCAGCCAGTCACGTGGTCCCCACCTAGAGGCGAATTGAAGCAAAAACAGATCATTTCCCTCTGCCCCCATGATTCCATCCCCAAACAATCAGCAGTACCGATTTTTTAGTCCTGTGACTCTGAAACTATCCTTGAAAATCTCTGTCTAATGTTGACAGCTGGTACCATTCCTTCTGAAACTATTCCAATCAATAGAAAGAGGGAATCCTCCCTGACTCATTTTATGAGGCCGGTATCATCCTGATACCAAAGCCTGGCAGAGACACAACAAAAAAAGAGAATTTTAGACCAATATCCCTGATGAACATTGATGCAAAAATCCTCAATGAAATACTTGCAAACCAAATCCAGCACTACATCAAAAAGCTTATCCACCATGATCAAGTGGGCTTCATCCCTGGGATGCAAGGCTGGTTCAACCTACACAAATCAATAAACGTAATCCAGCATATAAACAGAACCATAGAAAAAAAACCACATGATTATCTCGATAGATGCAGATAACGCCTTAGACAAAATTCAAAGTTTCATCATGCTAAAAACTCTCAATAAATTCTGTACTGATGGAACGTATCTCAAAATAATAAGAGCTATTTATGACAAACCCACAGCCAATATCATACTGAATGGGCAAAAACTGGAAGCATTGCCTTTGAAAACTGGCACAAGACAGGGATGTCCTCCCTCCCCACTCCTATTCAACATAGTGTTGGAAGTTGTGGCTAGGGCAATTAGGCAAGACAAAGGAATAAAGGGTATTCAGTTAGGAAAAGAAGAAGTCAAATTGTCCCTGTTTGCAGATCACATGATTGTATATTTAGAAAACCCCATCGTCTCAGCCAAAAATCTCCTTAAGCTGATAAGCAACTTCAGCAAAGTCTCTGGACACAAAATTAATGTGCAAAAATCACAAGCATTCTTATACACTAGTAACAGACAAACAGAGAGCCAAATCATGAATGAACTTCCATTCACAATTGCTTCAAAGAGAATAAAATACCTA